AATATAGTTTTAAATAGCTCTTTTTGAAGAGCTATTTCCAATAAAATCCATACCTAGGTGCTACACTTGGCCAACTGAGGGAAATCCATCCATGGTCTTGTAAATCAGTGGCTTCTTCTAAAGCCTGTACCTGAAGGAGTATTAAAAGCTTAAAGCAAAAAGTCTAAAAGCTTGAGCTGCTGACTAGCCAAGTAACATAGCAAATGTAGGTATCACCCCACTGTATTTATGGGCAGGACACTGTGGTACCTGTCACAGCCTAGTGAAGACGTGCAACTCAGCTCGAGTGTCCTGAGGTTGATTTTAGTAAACGCAACACCAGGACAGTCCAGGCTGAGAACCGGTACCAGGCCAGAAGTGCGGCCAAGAAGCAGCTGGTGACAACAGCCACCCCACGCCAACCCCGCAGATCTCTGCAGAGGAAGCCCTGCTCCCTGCTCATGAATCACCAGCTCAGACAGACCCATCTCCTCATCACGCACACAACAAAAGCACAGATGCAAAGCCAGAAGAGCCCAGATGGGCCGTGGCACTGCCCACAGTCCCTTAGATGCTTTGTGCAGCTTAAGGCAAGGCCTACAGAGCAGCCCTTCACTTGCAAGGTTGCAGGGAAGCTGCTTCCCTGTAATCCCAAGCCCAGCTCACCCCATGCAAGCTCTCTGGCTGCCACCTGATGAGGCTGCTGAGGGCCATGTCGGAGCCCTCACCTACTAGGAAGTGCCTTTGGGCTCAGAGCCAAGCAGGCCTTGGCACACACACCACCTGCACGCAGGCCCGAACACTTCGGGAAGGCTGAAGAGTACAGTCTACCTGCAGGTACCAGTGGGTACGTGGCCTAAAGGTTGTCCCACAGGAGACACCACAAGGCTGAAGGGCATTCAAAGCACTTGCACCAATGGCAGCAGCAAGAACACCACCACACACTGTAGATGCCAACAAATCTCCACCTTGGTGCTGGAAATTGCTCCTCCGTGGCCTTCCCTGGCTCCCCTGGGAAGTGCTACTACAACAGCTTACAATCCCTGCTCTACAGCCTTGGCTCTGCCTCCATCACAGATGGCCGGCACAGCACTTCTCCGAGGGAAGCCTTTCCCTCTCCCCTTTTTGTCTCCATTCCACAAGGAGAAGTGAACCAGCTCCTCAGCTCTACTCTCCCACCCTTTCACTCTTCAGATATCTGGGGGATTTGCATTCGGGCTGCCTCGACCCTTGCCAGGGACAAGTCTGGTCTCCACATGACAGTGGACAGTTCCCGAGGGATGGATGTCCGGACAATCTGAGGAGGTTGGCGACGGGTTTTGGTACAACCTGCGCGATGGAAAGCCTGCAGTCCTCCCACTGGCTCTCCTCCTCCACACAAAATGGCCATTCACTACATCAAAAATATGCTGCATCTAAAGCTTGGGCAACAGCCTTCTGTCTTTTATTTGTTCACTTGGTTTTATTTATTTATTTATTTAGCATTTCTAAGCCTTGCCCCTCCACTCACCACTGCAGCTATCAATCCTCACCTACGATACCACCTTTAATGCGAGGGTGGTTTCCCACAGCCATGAAGCAGCTGGGTGGTCCTCACAAAAGGGGCCTTTAGGCAGGCCTAAGGAGGCTACCACACGGTCCCATTCCTTCCAAATGGATTGGTGCAGTTTAACAAGCTGTCTAAGCAACTTATTCCCTACAAATGCCATTCCGATACCTGAGCAGGTAAGATGGCTGCTCCTGTCTCAGAATCCATGGGAAGCCTGTTGGACAGCACCTGGAAAAGGTTTCTGGAGGATGTGAGACCTACGAGCAGCACCTTCAGAGCTGCTGATTTTGGCAGGTTACTACTACTGAGTGCAGAGAGGCCAAAGCCAGAGCCTTTTGGGAACGAGCAGCACCAGCTCCAGGCCAGCAACACATGATCCTACTGCTCGAGGGGGGAAAGGGCTCCCCAGGCAGCGCGCAGCCCCGGAGCTTGGCACAACTCCACCTCCAAAAAGCCTCCATCGCCGCTCCGCAGCTAATGGATATTGATCCGGAGCCCTGGCGCGAGCAGCTGGGTCAGACTGCAAACTTGAGCGGGGCTGGAGCCAGAACGGCAGCTCGCTTCAGCGCCTGCCATTAGGGCAGCACACAGGCACTGCAGGGGGGAGACGGGACGAAAAGCGCTGGCGCTGCGCGGCACGAGGCAGGCTGCGATGGCAAGATCTCCCATGAATCCAGCCCCTCTTAGGGCTGGTTTTAGCCCCCTGCGGACAGGGCCAAGGTGAGAGACCCCCAACGGACACAAGCAAGGTCATAGGGATGCACAGGAACGGGGATGGAACGACAGGTTCGGTCCTGCCTGCAGAGAAGCCGCATCACCCCTGAGAGGAGGCTTAACCTTTTGTTCCCTGCAGAAAACCCAGGGAATTGTGTTCTGTGTTTTACCCAGACATCTGTAACCCCAGCAAATTCAGCAACTCAAATAATAAGCCCAGTTCTGCAGCAGCAGTTACCCTGCTTGCATGCACCAATTAAGGACACTAGTGGCTAATGCAGCAAAGAAGAAACAAATATTCATCACACAAATTAACCACTTTGATCCAATGCATCACCCTAAGGAGAAGCATCCACAGAACCTGTAGACATTATATTAGAAAAGGCACTTAGCCTGTTCCCATTAAGCTATTAGAAACAGGCAGCTGACAAAAGGCTCCTGGGCGTATAGAGCCGAGGCTTGTTGCATATGCAACTGGATGCTGTGTCACAAGCCATCAGGTCACCCTTAAAATGCAAGGCAGCAACTGCAGGAGAACCAGACTCTTTTGTGCATTAGCTACCACTCCTGGCTTTATTTTTTGGAGGGGGGAGAGGGAGAAGGGAAATTTCAGCATTTCTCAACGTTTTGTGCAGAAAAGAGCAGGCAAACAGCTAAGTGCAGGTGGCAGGAGGTAAAGCACTGGTGTCTGCACCGCCTGGCAAAGGGGAGCCGGTCAGACAGGAGCCCCTCTGCACCACCTAGGCTGGATGCAGTCTGCATGCTCTCTGCTACCACCTGGGTGCATTGCAGCTTGTACCAGTGCATATGACATCACTAGCGTTGCCACGGAAATGAGCGCGAGGTCACAAGCCTCCGCACAACTGGAGCTGGGGGATGGGCTCGGGGAGGACAGCGGCAGGAATGGGCGAGTGTGACATGCCCATTACCGTGGGCCCAGGCCCGGGTTAAGCAGCATTCTGCAGAAATTAAGAACAAAGCTCTGCCTTTTGTTTGCGGCAGCAAGACGCATCAGCACTCCTACTGAGAAGCATTTTCTTGGGGCTAAACTGCATGAAAATTGATAAGCAGCATTAGCCTGGGTTACGGTTTCACCAGGAGCACGGAGGGCTAAAAGGAAGAAAGAAATGTATATTTACATATATATGAGATATATGTGTGCATATTTGACATATATAAAAATAAATTTCCAACAGTTTTGGTTTAAATACAGATCCACCATAAGGAGGCTAGTGAAACTTGCATAACAGGAATATTGCAACAAGCCTGGGTGTCAAGTCCTCAAGCACATCACTGCTGAATATGTAATAATGGTTAAATTCTCCTTAGGAAATAAGAGGTGGCAACTGCACACAGTCCAAGTGTTATTGAAAAATGAATAGGTGCTGTTCCATTATCAGAAAATGGCATAAAATCCATAGGGCAGCAGAGGAATAGCCCAGTCATTTTAATATGATATTATCTTGTTCTGATTATCCATATTTCATTCCTTGATAAGACATCTCCTCCCTCCCCGTTCTCAGGCTGTGACAGTTTTGCCTGCTTGATAAATGCAAGGTTAGTGACAAAATGGTGCAATATAGGCAAACAGGGCTGCATCCAAGACAGACTGCGACATTCCTAGATCAGCATTCACTTTCCATCAGCAAGGGAGGCCACCCCAGCTCCTCTTAAAGCTTCAGACCTGACTAAGGAGACAAACATAAAGAACAGTTTTCCCCTTTAAAGCACCCCCTCCCTCCCTCCACCCAGTCTAGCCTCTCTGCAATATGACAAATGCAGAATCTTCTGGAATGACTTGATCCTGCCTCCCACGATTGCTTTGTTTGCAAGATCAGATCAGAGATATGTTTTTTTACTTCTTATATTGTCAAAATGTCAGCATTGAAGAGGAGCGTTCAGTGTCACAAATCAGATCAGCCTGCTATATGCAGAGTCTTTATTTTAAGAGCGTGAAATGAATACAACATGACTCAATTCATAAATCTCGGAACAAGTGCAGTAAAAATAAGAGCTCTGGCAGCTCAAGGCGCCGATCTCCGGGGTTGGGAGCGCGCGAGCCCTGCGGAGCCGGGATGGGATGCGCGGGGCGGCATTCCGGCCGCGGGGAGAGGCGGCCACGCGGACCCCCGGCCCCCGTCCAGCACCCGGGAGCCTCTCGGGGGGTCTGGGGGGAGCTGGGAGGGGGCAGTGGGGAGCCCCTCGCCCCAAGGGCGGCTCCCGCGCCCTGCGAGCAGCGGACAGGGGCACGCGGGGGGCCTGGGCGCAGGGACGGGCACAGGGGGGTCCTTAGGGATGAAGGATGAGGATGGCGGCACGGGGGTAGATCTGGGGGAGGACAAGAGGTAAGGGGCACCGTGAAGGATGCAGCGGGGACCACAGGGCAGAGGACGTAACGAGGGGGAGAGCAAAGCAGCGGGACCAGGGCACAGCGAAGGCTGCGGGGGGCACGGCGGGGCGGCGAGGAGGCGCCGCGGGAGGGCAGCGCCAGGGATGCGCGGCGGGAGCAGGGACGAGGCAGGCGGAGAGGCGGCGGGCCGGGCCGGCGCCGAGCACAGCATGCGGGGGAGGAGGGCGTGAGGGCAGCGGGCCGGGCACGGGGCGCAGCGGAGAGGCCGCGGGGGGCAGCGCCGCGGGGCCCCCGCACCGGGGCACCGCGGGAGGAAAGGCGGGGCGGGCGCCGCGCACCCCCTGCGGCCCCCGGGCCGGGCGGCGGCGGCGGCGAGCGAGGCGGGCACGGGGACACGCGGGGACTCACGTTCTTCATGGCGGCCGCCATGTCGTCGTATCGCTCGGCTTGCTCGGCCAGCCGGGCCTTCTGCACCAGCTGCTCGCGGTCCACCATGTTCGCGGGGCCGGGGGAGGGCGCGGAGGCTGCGGTCGGTCGGTCGGGCGGCGCTGGGGCGGCGGCGGCTCGAGTCGCTGCGGCGGCGGCGGCGGCTGCACCCGGTGCTGTGCGCGCGCC